AGCTGGGATTATTGGTCCCTGGTTCTTTGAAGAAAATGAAGTCACAGTGACAGTGAATTCAGACCGGTATGTGAACATGTTGGAGGAATTTGTTTTTCCACGACTTGATGAATTGGACTTAGGGGACATTTGGTTCCAACAGGACGGAGCAACGGCTCACACTTCAAGAGCATCAATGGCTGTTTTAAGGGAACACTTCCCGGAGCGCCTCATCTCAATAAGGGGCGATTTGGAGTGGCCAGCCCGCTCCCCTGATTTGGCCCCTTGCGACTTTTTTTTTTGTGGGGTTTTTTGAAATCCCGCGTTTATGTAAACCGTCCAAGGACACTACAAGACCTGAAGGCCAACATCCGCGCAGAAATTGCCAACATACCCGCTGCTATGCTGGTAAGGGTCATGAAAATTGCCAGAAATCGGCTTATTCAGTGTATGGACAATGGGGGGAGTCACCTACCTGATATGATTTTCAAAACTGTGTAAAACAGAACTTTAGATATGTACCTACATTATTAAAGATAATAAAAAAACAATTCTGATTCATAAAATGGGTTTTATTGCGTTTTGAAAAAAGGACGTTATGTTGCCGCACCCTGTATATTGCTGATACCTGCAGCCAGGATCCCAGATGTTCCAAATGGTGAAGACTGCTCAGCCTGTATATCTCAATGACTGAATGGCTGAAAAGAGCTTTGGGTTGTCCGTGGCTGTAAGTGTGTATCCACGTGTATCCACATATCTAGTGGTTTCCTGTGGTTATTGATAGATGTCTGACCCCATTACATCAAGTGCCGAACATCTGTCCCTATCTTAACTGGATGTGCAGGTACATGCGGATACATACAGCCAGGGGCGGACTGACCATTTGGAAACTCGGGCACCGCCCGAGGGCCCGGGGTCAGTAGAGGGCCCCATAAGATGCCCCTGGTACCTTTTTCATAGGCTTTTTTTAGTTTGAGCAAGGACACAGGGGCCCCATGATCCCTTATTGCCCAGGGGATCCATGAGTTGTCAGTCCGCCCCTGCATACAGCCATGAAGTTGTTCATCATTTAGTTGTATAGACTGAGCAGTCACTGCTGTTTGGAACACCTGGGAGCCTGGCTGCAGGTATCCATAGTATACTTTCTGCAAGGTGGGGATCCTGATGTCCCCACCCCACGCCTCTCTTCCTAGTCCAATCAGAGATCACCTTTGCTTTCACTGAAGATTCGTTCTGTGAATGGGGTTTGTGCTGAGTGAGCAAGACCCTGTGTTCACTATGCAGAAGAGCACACTCTTGGCATAGGATCCGGAAGACAGAGGCGACTACTGCAGTGATTCTTTGCTCCCACAGATATGCATACTTACATTGTTCCAAGCTAGACCAATGAAACTATGCAAAAAAAAAAAAAACATACATAAGGTTGATCTGTAAAATGAGCTTTTTTTTGCAAATCACAATTTTTGATGTATCTTTAGTAAATGTGAGACATAACTTTTCCTAACAGCGGTAATTTAGGAAATAAGATTTTATGTATACACCGTAAATATAAATATATTCATATTTTATAGATCTAATTGATTTACATTGAAATCTGCTAAGATGAGGCTATTAGTTGTTATGAGCTACTGCTAAATCAGTAATTTCATTTCCTGGATATGCTTCCATATTTTACACATAGTGGATTCCTGACTCTGTTTTGCTGACCACTGCTTTAAGCTGAATATTTACATTCTAGTTTCAGCAGCTTTACTGATCAATTAGCATCTGTTTCCAATGAGCAATCTGGCTGTATGTTATTGGAAAGTGACAAGTCAGTGTACTGGATTGCTGACTGGCACACTGCTGCAGGATGCTTTTCTAACATGATATCAGTCTGCCATGAGCAATATATTTGTGGACATGCAGCATTTGTAAACTCTTCCTAAAATTAATATTAAAATTTCTAATATGACCAGGCATAGGACTGAGGGTTTAATGTATGTTCTGACGTCAGCAATGACCACATTTCTAATTAGAAATATAATATATACTTTATAAATAAGTTTTTTTTTATATATATATATATATATATATATATATATATATATATCTATGTATGTATAAAATATTTAATAAATATTGGGACATCGACACAATTCTAAAATTTTTGACTCTATACACCACCACAATAGATTTGAAGTGAAACGAACAAGATGTGCTTTAACTGCAGACTGTCAGCTTTAATTTGAGGGTATTTACATCCAAATCAGGTGAACGGTGTAGGAATTACAACAGTTTGCATTTGTGCCTCCCACTTGTTAAGGGACCAAAAGTAATGGGACAATTGGCTTCTCAGCTGTTCCATGGCCAGGTGTGTGTTATTCCCTCATTATCCCAATTACAATGAGCAGATAAAAGGTCCAGAGTTAATTTCAAGTGTGTTATTTGCATTTCGAATCTGTTGCTGTCAACTCTCAAGATGAGATCCAAAGAGCTGTCACTATCAGTGAAGCAAGCCATCATTAGGCTGAAAAAACAAAACAAACCCATCAGAGAGATAGCAAAAACATTAGGCGTGGCCAAAACAACTGTTTGGGACATTCTTAAAAAGAAGGAACGCATCGGTGAGCTCAGCAACACCAAAAGACCCGGAAGACGATGGAAAACAACTGTGGTGGATGACTGAAGAATTCTTTCCCTGGTGAAGAAAACACCCTTCAAAACAGTTGGCCAGATCAAGAACACTCTCCAGGAGATAGGTGTATGTGTGTCAAAGTCAACAATCAAGAGAAGACTTCACCAGAGTGAATACAGAGGGTTCACCACAAGATGGAAACCATTGGTGAGCCTCAAAAACAGGAAGGCCAAATGACATCTAAAAAAGCCTTCACAGTTCTGGAACAACATCCTATGGACAGATGAGACCAAGATCAACTTGTACCAGAGTGATGGAAAGAGAAGAGTATGGAGAAGGAAAGGAACTGCTCATGATCCTAAGCATACCACCTCATCAGTGAAGCATGGTGGTGGTAGTGTCATGACGTGGGCATGTATGGCTGCCAATGGAACTGGTTCTCTTGTATTTATTGATGATGTGGCTGCTGACAAAAGCAGCACGATGAATTCTGAAGTGTTTCGGGCAATATTATCTGCTCATATTCAGCCAAATGCTTCAGAACTCATTGGACGCCGCTTCACAGTGCAGATGGACAATGACCCAAAGCATACTGCAAAAGCAACCAAAGAGTTTTTTAAGGGAAAGAAGTGGAATGTTATGCAATGGCCAAGTCAATCACCTGACCTGAATCCGATTGAGCATGCATTTCACTTGCTGAAGACAAAACTGAAGGGAAAATGCCCCAAGAACAAGCAAGAACTGAAGACAGTTGCAGTAGAGGCCTGGCAGAGCATCACCAGGGATGAAACCCAGCGTCTGGTGATGTCTATGCATTCCAGACTTCAGGCTGTAATTGACTGCAAAGGATTTGCAACCAAGTATTAAAAAGTGAAAGTTTGATTTATGATTATTATTCTGTCCCATTACTTTTGGTCCCTTAACAAGTGGGAGGCACATATGCAAACTGTTGTAATTCCTACACCGTTCACCTGATTTGGATGTAAATACCCTCAAATTAAAGCTGACAGTCTGCAGTTAAAGCACATCTTGTTCGTTTTATTTCAAATCCATTGTGGTGGTGTATAGAGCCAAAAATGTTAGAATTGTGTCGATGTCCCCAATATTTATGGACCTGACTGTATGTATATGGATGTGAATAAGAGAGAGTCACTGAAGAGTGCTAGGAAAGGAGCACATCAAATTATGGGATTGCTAGGAGGTGCTAGGGAGTCTGACTGCTAGCATGTAGACACTTTATTATTGCAACACTTTACCCATAACAACTTGATAAAAATAATGTTATTTGTGAAGGAACATGCATTCCACATTAATAATTATGCTATCAAAATCAATCGTTCCTGTTTCTGATTTTGCCTATGGACAGGAAGCAGTGCCGATGCAGGCTAATGTACCTGTATGTCAGGCCACAACAGAGGCTCCTGAGCGGCTCACAGAGTGCACATCCAGGAGCCCGGTGACCCGTGTGTCACCCGAACACAGCTGTTCACATTACCGCTGTGCCCAGGTGGTCACATGTATTGTACCATGTGATTTCTGTGTCCAATCACAGCAATCACATAGTAAACAATACCAAGTGAAAGTAAAGATCAGTTCTCTCTGGCTTTCACTCTGAGAGCAGAGAGAAGCTATGCTGTAGGCCTGTGAGTGTACAGTGGCCTGTCAGGTTGCTTCTACACTCACAGACTGCAGTGCCAGCCAGCCCTAGTGTTCCTGATCACTGCACCAGTGTAGTCTCTGATAAATAATGCAGCCAGCCCTGTCACCTGTCCCAGTACTCGCAAAAACACCACCATACCACCGTCCTGATAACTGCCATACCAGTGTCATGATCACTGCCATATGCAATACCAGTGTCCTGATCAGCACCATACGCAATACTAGCATCCTGATCATGGCCATACACCATACCATCTCCATGATCACTACCATATGCCATACCAGCACCCTGATCATCACCATACACCATACCAGTGTCCTGATCACTGCCATATACCATACTAGTGCTTGATCACCGCCATATACCATACTAGTGCCCTGATCACCCCCATACCAGCATCCTGATCACCGCCATACCCCATACAAGCATTCTGGTCACTCCTTATGCCGAACCAGTATCTTGATCACTGCCATAGTCCATACCAGTGTTCTCATCACCCCATATGCCATGCCAGTGCCCTGATAACCGCCATACCCCATACCAGCATTCTGATCACCCATATGCTATACCAGCATTCTGATCACTGCCATAGCCCATTCCAGTGTCCGGATCACCACCATACACTGTGCCAATGTCCTGATCATGGACATACCCGATACCAGAATCCTGAACACTGCTATACCTCATACCAATGTCCTGATCAGTGCCATACGTCATACCAGCATCTGGCATTTTAAGGTATCATCCAGGGGCGGACTGACCATTTGGAAACTCGGGCACTGCCCGAGAGCCCGGGGTCAGTAGAGGGCCCCATGAGATGCCCCTGATACCTTTTTCATAGGCTTTTTTGAGTTTTGGCAAGGACACAGGGGCCCCATGTTCCCCTATTGTACGGGGGCCCCATGAGTTGTCAGTCCGCCAACTGGGATATTTTTATCCAAAAAATGGAGCAGAATACATTTTGGCCTACATTTATAAAGAAAGATGATTTATTTGCACAATGTTATAACAAAAACTAAGCAAGAAAATGTTTTGGTTTTTTCTCAAAAGTTTCTGTATTTTTACATTTATATAGCAAAAAATAAAAATCCCAGTGGTGCTCAAATACCACCAAAAGAAAGCTCTGTTTGTGTGAAAAAAATGATTAAAAAATTGAATTTGAGTACAGTGAAGCATGATCGCGCACTTGTCATTTAAATTGCAACAGTCCTGAAAGCTGAAAATTGGCCTGCACTGGAAGGGGGTGAAAGTGTTCAGACTTGGAGTGGTTAAATAGTATAGGCACTTATTTTTAATGTTTATATACAGTAGCTATACCTGCAGATCTAGCAGGACTTACGTTTCTGACTAGAGTTCCACTTTAAATTCTGAGGAACCCGGACACAAACTGTTTAAGACAGCTGCCCCCATGTGAATGGTTGCGGTACCAGCAAAAGGAGCAAGATCCAGTGTAAGAATGTGGAACAGGTGAGCGTGACAGTAAGGCTAGGTTCACACCTATGCAGTTTGTGTTTGAGCCGTTTCTGCATTGCGTTTTATGTTTTTGCACCAGCGTTTTTGTTTTTTTTTTTTTAATGTTTCTTGTTGCTAGGCAGATTTAAAATGCATCAAAAGCACAGCAAAAATGCATAACAAATGCACTACATGCTTTTCTGCGGCATTTCCATTGAAGTCTATAGAACCAAAAATGCTACCTGACCCTTTCCAAAAAACGCACCGGGTGAAAACTCAGAGATGTGAACGTGTCCCATAGGAAATCATGTTAAATGGACTGTACTGCGTTTCTGCAAAACGCTGTGAAAAATGCTTAGGTGTGAATCTAGGGTGATGCAGTTTTGCAATGCCCTTTGCAGCATCAGTCAGACTGAGTAATAAGGGAGGGCAGTGCTAGCAGTCAGGTGTGCTGCATGTAAATGTGCTGACAAGGAGTAAGATGACAGGAGGAGAGTAGAGAGATGACCTCAATTTTGCTCCTGCTCCTTCATCATCCATTCAGCAGGCTGAGTGTAGGTAGATGACACTACTGTATTCCTTAACCCCACCATCGAAAGAGGTGGCATTCTCCATGCAGTGTGATTGTAAGGCCTCACTCACTTGGGATTTTATTGCCAGCTGCGGAAAGAATCCACATTGCCTGCTGCCTCCAGCAGGATTGATAGGTGGATGTGAATAGTTGCAGCCACTTAGTTTGTACAAAGCAATGACAGGCTGAAAGTGACAGCAGCTATTAGAGGCTTTTTGGATGTAAACGCACATGGATTGATTATCTGTGTTTAGGAACAGTGGATCACTCCTGGATGCAAATTGCTTCAGTTGATGGGAGAACATCTGTCCATAAAAACAGGTATTCACTCCATGTGCAATTACATCTGAACACCCATGGCCACTGTTAGCCTGTCATTACATTGTACAGGCTGAGCAGCTACACCTACCGCATCTACCTGTTAATCCAGCTGGACTCTTGCTGCAGCTGCCAATTATTATTATCATTATACAGGATTTATATAGCGCCAACAGTTTGTACAGCGCTTTACAACATGAGGGCAGACAGTACAGTACAATACAATTCAGTACAGATGGGATCAGAGGGCCCTGCTCCTTGGAGCTTACAATCTAGGAGGGAGGGTCGAGTGATACAAAAGTTAATAGCTGTGGGGGATAAGCTGATGGAAAAAATGAAAGTACAATTGTTAGGTAGGGGCAGAATAGGCTTCTCAAGAGAATGATTTTCAGGGATCATCTAAAAGCAAACAGAGTAGGAAATAGACAGATTGGGGTAGGGAGTTGCATAGGATGGGGGAGGCTTGAGAGAAGTACTGGAGGCACACATGGGAGGAGGTGACGAGGGAGCTAGAGACCAGGAGGTCTTGGTAGGAATGAAGAGAATGATTTGGTTGGTATTTTGAAACTAGGTTAGTGATGTACCTGGGGTTGAGTTGTGGATTTGGCTTTGTCTGTTGTTAGTGTTTTGAATTGAATTTGTTGGGTGAAGCCAATGAAGGGATTGACAGAGAGGAGTAGCAGACATTGAACGGTTGGTAAGGTGGATAAGTCTGGCAGCAGCATTCATAATGGACTGAAGGAGGGGAGGGGGGGATATGAAGGAGCAATACAATCCTGTGTAGATGAAGCCTGGATGAACAGACATGCAAATGATTTTAAATGTAGAACAATTCCCTTATATGTATTTCATGGCTGGATTTCCACTTTAGCTCACCAAATTCTCCCCCAGCCTTATTGTCTTTATCCTACACTGATCACGCAGAGCTTAGCATACGCGTCATCGTGGGTGATACTATGCAGCTCTGACTCATCCAGTTTACACGTAAGAACTGACAGTCTGATTGTAGGCAGTTCTGTACTGGGCAGGAGCACACTACAGCCATAACCAGCTTAGAGCAGTTGGGTGATTGCATTAAACTCCATAGGAAGACAAGGGAACCGATTAGAGCATTATTGCACTGCAGGATTCAGTTTACAGTATATGAGCTGTGTGTTCTGACACTACTTGTTATGTTTTATGGCAGGGTACAGAGCTCACACTGACAGCCCACTCTCTAGTCTTACTGCAGAGATATTTCTGTATGAACAATGAAACTACAAGCATACGCATATCTTACTATTTTATCACAAGTGCTTGCATCTCCCCTATTTATATATTGCAAATAACAGGCAATTCTGCAGGCCTTTCCATTTTAGAAACAAGAATAGTTATATTCGTTTTAGTAAAAATCACCCTGGGACACAGTGTTAACACAGGGGGCTTTATTTATTGCATTATAGGGCCTGATCTGTACTTTTTAACCACTTGCCTACCAGGCACGTATACCCCTTTCCTGCCTTGGCCAATTTTCAGCTTTCAGTGCTGTCGCGCTTTGAGTGACAATTGCGCGATCATGCAACACTGTACCCATATTACATTTTTATCATTTTTTTTCACACAAATAGAGCTTTCTTTTGGCGGTATGTACTTGCCGCTGGGTGTTTTATTTTTTTGCACTATAAACAAAAAAAGAGCAAAAATTTAGAAAAAAAGATTTTTTACTTTGTTTCTATTATAAAATTTGGCAAACAGGTAATTTTCCTCCTTCACTGATAAGGCTGCACTGATAGGCAGCACGGTGCCTTGTGTTTTTGGTTTGATTATATTATTGAATTAAATGTATTATTATTATATTATTATTTTTTTATGATTATTTATTAAATTCTAATTTGTGATTTCATGTTTCAAGTTCTATCCTACCCGGGATGTTTACTAGACTCTTGTTCGGACAGACTTCAGTGAGTTATTCCTAAAAATTACAGGCCTACAAAAGAAAAAATACATATTTCCATGCAAAAAAATGTACCGCTTTGATCACAGAAATATGGACATAATCAATATTGGACCAGCTGAACAGCAAAGCAATATTATTGGGCTCAAGGAGGAGGTTGAAAAAGGTTGGAAACCTCTGACAGGAAAAATAAATAAAACATATCTGACAGTGTGTACATCCTCAGTCCAAACCACTGAGTGTGAATTCTGTCTGCAGTCTGGTTCCTATGCTAATTGCATGAGTCATTTCTGACAGGTAATGCAGGGGATTGAGGTGACAGGGGAGGGGAGCTCCAGCATACAGTCTGTGATTTACAGCCTCGGCTGTTCATGTTTCCCTATGAGATTGTGAAGATGAGGGTGTGTCCCTTCCCTCCACTGGGTGTCAGATTACACTTAGCTCTCCTCTCTGAGCTGTACAGTGTTTGACCACAGATCCTCATCCCCTCCCCTGGAATCTCAGAAAACTTGTACTTTAAACAGAAGTAGAGCAGAGGTGGCTGCAGATAAGCAACAGATAACTTACAGTATGTAGGAGGCTGTCCATCAGTGTGTATCACCTGAGGCCAGTCACTTTACAGGGTATATGTGAGGGTTTACAATCACTTTAAGCATTGGATCCTAAGAAATAAAAACAATTAAGCACACAAATGCTAGAAGGAGGAAAAGTCAGAGATACATTTGCGAAAACAGCAAATAGTAGGGAGGGGCTGATGGAAAGGTTTGTACATAAAAAAGACTAACATGGTGTATGACTTTGAAACATGAATTGATCCATCAAGGTGTGTTTTTCTCTCATTATGTGAAATCATACAGATATTTTAGGTTACATTCAGGCAGGGGATTAGCACATTTTGTAAATCTGCAAATTCCTACACCTGGAATGACAGGTGTGTGCGAATAGCTGCAGACACTTTTTTGTGTGTACAAGCAGCAGGTTTTGGCACAGTATATGTACATATCAAATTAGGCTTTGTAAGCATGGCAGAAATGGCATTCAATATTCCCAAATCAATGATCTTGATCACGATCAATGATTAAATAAGATCAGGTTATTCGTGAATTAATGTGAACCTGTGTACAGGCAGTTGCTTTTAAAGTACAGTAAGTATTCTGAACAAGAAGTAAATAAGCTTCAAAATATTATTATTATTATTATTATACAGTATTTATAAAGCGCCAATAGTTCGCTCAGCGCTGTACATTACAAAGGGGGACAGAACATGTGACAGAACAATACCAATACAATGCAAAACATGAGGGGATTGAGGGCCCTGCTCTTTCGAGCTTACAATCTAGGAGGGAGGGGATGGTGGCACAGGAGGAGATAGCTGTGGGGGATGGAGTGGTTGGAAGAGTGGAGGAGGTCGGCAAGTTAGCAGGGGGTGGGGTAGGCTTCCCTGAAGAGGTGGGTTTCAGGGTGCGCCTAAAGGAGAGGAGAGTAGGTGATAATCTGATGGGTTGGGGCAGGGAGTTTCAGAGGATGGATGACACCATGGAGAAGTCCTGGAGGCGGGCATGGGAGGAGGAGACCAGGGAACTAGAGAGAAGGAGGTCTTGTGAGGAGCGGAGTGTGCATGCTGGGCGGTACTTGGATATTAGGTCAG